TAGGTAGGATTACAGGCGGAGGCCACTGTGCCAAGCCAACCACTTGTTTTTGCTAGTAGCCCACCAGTTAAACTCTTTCCAAATGGGCATTTAGTCCAAAATTATATGTATTCCTTGCTATTTAAAAAAATCCTACTTTTGACTTTTTTTTGTCTTTTCTTTTTTGGCACTGGGATCGAACACAGGACGTTGTATTTGCTAGGCAAGTGCTTTGCCACTGAGCTACATCCCAGCCCATACTTTTGACTTTATACATAGAATTCACAAGTGTTTGCAATGTTTAAGGATGACAAGTCAACATAATGCTGATAATCATTTCTTTAAGTAATAACCAAAATTCTCCAGTCCTTATTAACTCCCACTTAAGTCCCTATCAGTAGCAATGCTCCAGAAAATTTTGGAAAGACAGACACAATCAAAAATTGAAGACAAATAATTTGAGAGCAATAAAGTTGGAAAGGGGTCACTGTGACCTGGACAATTAAGGTTTTTCCAGGTCTGTAGTTTGTAGAACCAGAGTTTGAACTCAGCTCTTTTGACACCTGAAATGATGGATTTTTTCACAACAGCACTAGCAAACTTACAATAACTGGACAACTGTCAAAAGAGATATGGCGACAAAAATAAAATAAAATGAAAAAACCTCTGTACTTGTACCCAAGAGACATAAAATGTACATGTAAGCAGTATTGTGATAGTTGAAAAAAATTGGGAACAACTTAAACATCCGTGGGGAGGACAAGATATTAAATAGAGCTTATTTATCTCATCCAATACCATATAACAGTTAAGGGAAATATATTCCTGTTCAATGCATTAATATGCATTGTTTGTTGGGGGAGTACAAATTGTACAACATAATAGTATAATATCATAAAGAAGAAAATGAGACATCTTATGTAGCTCTCTGTTCCATACGTTCTTACTTTTCTCCCACATGTCTTCATAGTTCAAAGAAGCTACAAGTGACATGAATGGAAATTATGTTTATTACTACAAGTGAAAAGCTTAAGGCTTTTCAAAATAACTTCCATTTGCATGTAATTTCTTCTTTCTTGAACTGTTGGTGTTAATTTCCTCATGCAGGGAACATTAAGGAAAGTTATATTTATTTCCTCTGTGCTAATTAATTACTTTCATTTGAGAGAAGGAACACTCAGTATATCTTGAAGAATATATTCTTCTCCCCCACCCCCCCACGGAATTAGAGAATCCTTTATTAGTAAGTTACATAAAAAAGAAATCTACTTTATTTTCAAAGAAGAGTTATCATGCATGTTGCCTCTTTACATTGTGGAAGTACTAGTTAGAATTACTAAATGTTAGAGAATGCTTTGGTGGCTGTTGTTATAGACTCTTATAGATGACCCAAATGAAGAAAAATCACTTCCCTAAAGATCTAGCAAACCTGGGCTTGAGGCCCAGGCTGCTGACTGGTCATGTACCTTCCTATCCATCAGGGACCCCACCCTTGGACTGCTCCTGACCAGAAGGCAAATTAATCAGTCCAGTGATGAAACCAAAACTTTTACCCTAAATCCTCTTACCAGTCCATTGTTGTTATAACTTCATTTCCCAACTACATTTCTATTTTTTGTCAGTTCTGTAGAGATTTATCAATGTAGGTATCTCCAGTGTAATTCTGGCTGGGATTTCACTGTAAATATATTAACTTCATATACATTTCAGTTGTGAGTGTATGTATCTGAGGTCTGAAGAGTGTAATAACTTGGGAAAGCTTCTTGCTGACCTTATGTTTCTGCATCTCCATCTGGAAAATAATACCCATTACATAATGTATATGGGATCATTAACACTCTTGGCCCTGGAGGGCTATTTAAACACAGAACATTATAATTTTCCTACAGGAGATGTGTACTACATGATTTTAGATATACTCATGTCCAACAGGAAAGTCTTCCACAATGCTTGGAATAAATCCTCTCATGGGGCTTTACTGAGAAGTGTCACACAGTGCAGCTTTTTTTTTTTTGTCTGAAATCCTCTACTCTTGGGGGAAAATGTTGATCATTTCAACTTTCTTCTTAAGCTATTTGCATTTACTGCATTCAAAACAAGGAGTATTGTACCTATTTAAAATGAGAGCTTCCAGCATTTTCTTTTCACAAAAGATGTCACTTTCCCAAGCTCTTGATTTTGGAATGGTACAAAACATTTCCAGATATATCATTAAGTAATAGGATAATGATAATCATTAAAAAGGGGGGGTTGTCATGAGTTCTGGCCTGTAGTCTGTATGCACACAGTTCTTTCCCTTTTAAATTACTGTCTACATACATCTTAAAATTAATAAAAATTTAAAACTGTCTCGCAAGACAATAAACATTTTTGCAGAACTGCTTTGATCTCAGGTCTTATGTAATGACTGTTATTTTTTTTTTTACTATGGGCCAAACATATCCTTGGCTCAACTAACATGTTTTTTATCCTCTTAATGTAATAAAAAAGAAATACTTTAGGAAATGACTTCCTTTTACAATGAAATTCCAGATTCTATATAGCTTTTTTTTTTGCTTCCCCCATGGGCAAAAACACACTATTTTCTTATTCTGGCTTTAACACATTGACTCAGAAACTTCTGATCTTGCCAGTAAGCAAGAGTCAATCATTTGAGCTTTAGCCAGATTTGAGGAAAACCCAAAAGAAATTTAGGTGTGACAGGAAGATGTTAGTAATCCAGTTTTGTTCAGCTTTGGCCTTTAGAGTATTCTTTGGATTGTGTTGGAATCTGTTATTGCATTGTTATGAACCGTTGCTGCCAGCTTCCACCCTAGAGATAGCTTTCTTATGGAGATGAGTGAAATGATACTTGTAAACAAGTTTATAATCATTAATAAAGCTTACCAAACAATTTAAGCTCTGTAGAAACACACATCTACTATTATAACTAATTGCTTATTGTTTATTTAATTACAACATTTAATAGAGATATGAAGCCTTTAAAATGCAATTTAGAAAACTTTTAAACTTAATTAAATTGGATTTCATGATGCCTATTTTATTTTTGTTTCAGGTGTCAAATTTTTCTCCTTAGAAATCCTGGTGACATTCTACTCCTGACGATTCGAATGTACTCTTAAAAAAAAATCCCTAGGGATATTTTTCTTTCAAGTTGAGTTGACAACTGCCCACTCTGGGATCCAGATGCTACAAGCTCAATAGGAAGATTTTGCTCTGCTTTTCTCACACATGGTCTTTTCCTATGTTGTTTCCCAAGGATGAAAAATTCTGTCTCAACTGGAGACGTTTGAAACCTGGCCTGAAAGCAATAAACATGATACTGTATATGTCGAAGAAAATTGCTTTCACATCTCTCATATTATTTTCCTCTCAAAATTACTCCCGTAAAGGAAGAAGAAGACATTAAATCATCCAATAAATTAGCTAGCGTGCCTACTGAATGCTAAGCTCAAAGAAGGCTTCACATGGTACACCCAGATAGTGGACAGGGAAGACATGTACAAAAATAAAGGCAAAAGATGCTGCATCTAAATGTCTCTCGTGACAGAAATAGAGAACTCAGAGTTGCACCCACAGTGTGCGTCGTTCATCATCTCCTCGTAGTCCTCTCCCTTCACCTCCCTAAAGTTGGTGCTTGTTGGTGAGCGCGCAGGGGGTGCTTTGGATGTGGGCCCCCCAGCCATGTCCTTCGCAGCGATACATTATGTCACAAGGAGGACGGGTCGCACCATCCACAGGTGGCAAAGGTAAAGCCAGAGCCAGGCCTGCCTTCTGCCGCCAGCCCAGCCCCTTCCACGATTCTTTATGAATCTCCGTTCCTTCTGGACTCGTAATCTGCTTCCTTCTCTCTTTGTCTGGGCGAAGGCTGTCATGTTTAGCCAGTTGACAGGCTCTGGTCTCTTCACAACGGATGGATGGATACGGGCTGGCTATCAATGAAGAGGGCCTATTCATCCACCCTTGGTGGGCATCAACTCTGGCCCAGGCACTGTGCACCCATGGCAGGCAGAACAAGGGCAGAGTCCCCCTCCTCCTAGAAACCTGGTCTCTTCGTCGTCAGGGCGGTCTGCAGGGTCCCAGCCCTCCCTTGGCGGGCTCTCAGGTCCACCAGGCCCAGGCAGCGGTCGGGGACCGGGGCAGGTGCTCCGGGCTCCAGCATCCTGCGCCGCGCCCCTGTCGCCAAGGCAACCTGGGAGGCGCTGACCTCTGACCCCGCGGCCCCGCCCGGCCCCGCCCCTCGCGTTGCGGAGAGCAACCTAGAGAAGGCTAACCCGGAAGTGCCGCGGCCGCCGCGCTCCCGGTGCTAGGCGCCGCCGACTGGGCCTGGCCGAGCCCCGAGCCCGCGGAGCCTGCGGCTCTGCAACCCCAGGCCCTCTCCGCGTCCCGCTGGCGCCCGCGCGGGCGGCCCGGGGACGCCGACCCGCTCCGCGCTCGGTGACCCGCCCCCGCCCGAGGGGAGGAGCCGCGGCGCGCCGAGGGGCGGAGGGCCGGGCCGGGAGAACGCGGGCGAGGCCGCGGGCCGCCGGCGGTTCGTACTATCGGGGTCGGAGGAGGAGCCGGGCCGAGCCCGCGGGCCCCGGCGGGGCCGTGCGGAGGCGTGCGGACGCGTGCGGAGGCGGCGGGCGGTGCGGCCCGGCCGAGGCAAGGCCGGCGGGAGGCCGGGGTAGGCCGCCGGGCGGGGTGGCCGCCCTCCACCGCGGGCCTCGGGCGGGCGGCCGGGCCTCACCTGTCGCTCGCAGCCCGGGTGTTCGTCGCGGCCCGGTGCGGGGCTCCGAGGCGGGCGCCCGCGGGACCGTGGAGGCGCGGGGCGTGCGCGCGGAGGCCTGGACGGCGCGGCCAGGTGATGTGGGCCCCGGTGCTGCTGCAGAGGAAAGGGACCCCCCACCCCCACCCCGGAGCAGCCGAGCCCCGGCGCCCCCCGCCCCCAGCCAGCCCGTAGGATGCGCTGATTAGAGCCGCGAGCTCTCCCTGCGGGAGGGGCACCGCCTGCGCCGGGAGCCTCGAGTCCTAGGGCCGGAAAGATGCTGTCCGAGCAAGCCCAAAAGTGGTTCCCAACCCACGTGCAGGTCACAGTGCTCCAAGCCAAAGATCTGAAGCCAAAAGGCAGGAGTGGCACCAATGACACATACACTATAATTCAGCTGGGCAAAGAAAAGTACTCCACGTCTGTAGCCGAGAAAACCCTTGAGCCGGTCTGGAAGGAAGAGGCCTCCTTTGAGCTGCCGGGGCTACTCATGCAGGGGAACCCCGAGAAATACATTCTTTTCCTCATAGTTATGCACAGGTCCCTGGTGGGTTTGGATAAATTCTTAGGTCAGGTGGCCATCAATCTCAATGACATCTTTGAGGACAAACAAAGAAGGAAAACAGAGTAAGTTATGTAATTTATCTTGATTTGGGGGGAGCTTATTTATGGATTTGCTGTTTGGGGGAAACTGTTTATAAACTTGTGACATTGGTCTTGCATTTGAAGTATGACCCAGTTTTAAGCACCCTATTTGCATGACTTTGAAGTAAAAATAGCTGTTGGTTGAATGAATTTTTTTACCAAGTGGAATGATTAGTGATTATTACTTTCTCACATCTGTTAATTGAATATTTTGCACTAGATTTCAAGGCACTATTACTTCTTTTGTAAGAGACCTGGATCACAGTGTTGATCAACGAAAACTAATATAGGTATAAATTGTGATATTTAAACAATACAATTTTCCGTGAGCTGGAAAATCAGAAAATTAAATTCACCAACTTAATATTTATATGAGTTGAACTCTGGCTGGCAAAGATAAATCACCAAATTTAAGACTTTTATTTTCAGCATTATAAACCCTGTTGGCTTTTATTTTTGTTCAGCCATTTTTGAGGGTCAGTACATCTTCATAGAGTAGAAAGTTGTAGCAAGAAAAAAGTTTTGGAAGTATATGCAAACATCCTCAGTCTTGAACCCACTGACATGTTCATTTTGCAATATAGTGGCAGTATTGTTTTCTTTAGATAGAGTTTAGTAAAGCTGATGTGTTTTGACCATATTAACTGCTGGAAGAGTGGAGTGATTAAAATATTGCATTGATGTTAATAACTTAGTCACTGGAAACATGGTATTTTTAGTATCTATTTTCCAGCTTGTATTAATAAAAAACAAAATATGAGCACTAGGATGTTAATTGTCTTCAACTGAAAAAATTATGTTTTCAGAAATAAACTTGCTCCATCCTTAAACTTAGCATTTTCCTAGTCTGAGGGAATGTGAAGGTCATTGGAATTTATGGGAGAAAAATGGGTCCATCTTGTAAGAGGACTTCAGATTTCCAAAATAGCTTTGGTGTTTCCTCCAGTCATAGCTATAATTAATTTACCCTTAGAAAAACTTTCTACAATGGTAATTTTAAGTTTATATTTCTTGTATTTTAAAACATCTATCTTCTGTTATTTTCCATATACCTTCCAGCAGACTTTTAAAGACTCCAGGAGTTTTATAAAATTTTGTTTTTTGTTTCTAATCAGTCCTTTCATTACCTAGGATTTGATATACATCAGATAAAAGGACAGAGAAATACCAAAAATGCAAAAGAATGAAAGATACTTAAACTGAGGAGACGAAAATATTTTAAAGGGAGGGATGTTTTTAAAAAGTGCTTATTTATCAATGAATATTATAACTGAACTATCTGATACTTTGAAGTGGCATTTGTTACCCTCCTATGGATTCTTTATCAGATTTAAAATGAATACTTAGCAAATAATTTGTTTCAAATGGTCATTTTTAGGTGACTTAATACATACTGTGTAAAGTGTTTTGAGTATAAACTTTAAGCATATGGTAGCTTCAGATTTCTTGCTGTATAGTTTTGGTGAATAATATATCACAGGCATCTAAAGCATCAATTTTTCATGTTTAAGTAGGCCCAATTGTGAACCCAAAGATTCTGAGCATAATATAGCTTTTAAAGTTTTTTCTTACTTTATTATTGTCTTTGCCAGCATGGAGGTTACATTAAATTTGGCCATGAGCACTGCTCTAATATTGTGGTCTCCGTATAAAATTGGTTAGAACTTTTTTGGGGGAAATGCTTTGAAATGTTATCAACAAGCCTTGTGGTGTTATTGCATTCAAGTGTTTTTCATATGTTATTAAATACTTCACTTTTTTTGTGGATAGATGGGGACCTCATACTTGATGAGGTATCTTTATTGGTAATATTTCTAGATTTTTAATATATTTAATAGCTTCCTTTTCCAGCACAGCTGTACATGTGGCACAGTAAGAGACAGATTCGAGCCACTAGTGTATTGCAAGAAAGATATTTAATATTCTGCACATTGCTAAACCTTGTCAGCATATTCCCCAGTGCTTTTTAGAAAACGAGTCTGAGTGATGAAGGCTACCAGCTGATTTAGAAGTCCCATGGAACTTCTGGGTGTGACACTTTCCTTTTTGACATTGAAGATGACAAGTATTTACATCGTGTCTTCCACTTATTCCATAAAAGGCAGCAAAGTATGATGGTTGAAACTATTAGTTTACTTATTTTTATACCTTGAAAATATTTTTTTTCTTTCAAGGAGATGGGGATAAGGGCCTGAGCCAGAACCCTGTGAGCGGAAAGAGACTTCTGTATTGCTCCCTTTAATGGATGTCTGGGTTGGTTTTGGCAAGAGATTTAAGGAACTAATATAATGTTTAACAATAGAATGGTAAAATCGTTGATGCTATTATGTAGTATCCATTGATTTTTTTTTTATAACCTAAGTAGGTGATGCTTGGTTTTTTTTTTTTCAATGCTTGTGAAAAATAATAACTGTCAGAGTCCCCAGATTTAGGAATGACTCACACATGCAAGTGTAAGGGCTTTTTGGGGGTCTGCAGTGCACCTGCCTCCTGGCCTTCTGGCCTCTGGCACCCTTTCTGCCATTCTTGCTCCATTTCTGACCACACAGTACCAATTGCTTGGGAATTGTTCCCACATGCATGGTGGTTTCTGAACATGGACCTGTGCCCACTGAAAATTGAACAGAGGCCATGTACAGTTTAAATTCAACACTCCAGAGGTGAAAAGAACCAGCATTAATCCAGTAAGCTCCCAAATGCTGTGTCTTCATTTTATCTTTTTGAAGCCCTGGGAAAACAAATGCTATCTCAGGAATGATGCTTGAAGGTCTCATTAAGACTTCCTTCAGATCAATTTAAAAACAAAGCAGTTAAAGTTACTTGCGATGCCTACTTTTTAAATATGTGTTCACATTCTTTGCAGGTGTTTTTGTTTGTGGTGGAGTGACGGAAAAACACTATTTTTACAGGATGTGAATTCAGATGCATAGTTGCTTTATTATTTAAAGCTTGCCTAATTATTTAGAGTTCCCTAGTTAAAAAAAATTACACAAGACACACAGTCACTGAGTTTTAGCTTGGTGGTCTTAAAAATTACAGTTTTAGGAACAGGAACGGAACCAACATTTATTTAGCTAAGAACAAAGTGTTTTGAAGAAAGCTTATACTCAGTAGTACAAAATCTATATTGCCTTCCTCTTTGGCTCTTACATCTCCTGATTAAATCCAGTATCCTGGGAATGTGATGTGTGCAGCCACATGGAGAACCTTAACATGTGTTTCAGCACATAGGAGGAACTTCTATATTCCTGCAGATGTTAGTCCTGACAGCTAGATTTTTTCCCCCCTTACTTTAGCTGACATTAGGAAGTTGTGTCATTCTCTACCTTAGTTTCCTTTATCAATGAAATAAGAATGTTAAAATAGGCGATTTTATTTGTCTAAACTTTTGTGAATTTTGTCTATCTTACCCCTTTTCCTTTTGGTGGTGGTGGGATATTTTTTCTTCTCAGATTTACATCATTTGTCGTGTGCATGGAATTGCATATTTGTTTTTGTTTGCTTCTTTAAGGGACATTAACTGAGGTGTATTCACCTGTTTTTTGTATAGCCTGAGATGTTGCAGAGTATTTCTGAGATACCAGAAGTGTTTCTCCTGTTGAACTGGCTTTGTTTTTCCAAAACTGTGAGGTGTAATACCTGTGCTTCATTCTGAGACATTTTGAGAACTCAGTTTTGTATTATTGTTAAGGTTCTCTATCTTACACCTTATTACTGTCATTTCTTTTGGCCTCTGATCAGATGTTACTACTTTAAGGAATTTTCTCAATGCAATGGTCAGATTAAAGTTTTCTATTTTAAACTGCTTTTCACCTGACCATTTCTTGATTGAATTGTTTCAAATTAGTTAATGAAGAGATTATTTCTCTTGCATGTTACTTTACTGTAGCTGGTGTGTGTGTATATATTTTGTGTCAGTTCTCTGGCCCTCCTGGAACGGCCTGTGAGCCAGTCTTCTACTGGATGTATAGTGAATGCCGTCTTCTTTTGGCATATCCTATTGGTACAGATGAGAGACATAAAATTGGTGTTCCACTGTAGCTAAGAAAATCTGTTGCAGTATTTTAGAGCTATATTTAAATAATAACATGTCTACAGGAATGGATATCAAGCTTCATTGCTAAGTAATGTGAAAACATAGTAGAAACGATTTTGGTGGCTCTTTTTTTTTTTTTTTTCAAATTGGCCATTTGCCCTGTATTTCTCAGAGATAGAACCAGTGTAAACAAGATGAGAGGGAAAACTTCTTACAGCTCATTTCAAAACAGGCAATAGGATACATTGAAGGGACTGAAAGCCTAAGATTTGAATACATATATAAAACTAAGTTTTGTTCAGTAGTGGTACAGTAGCAATAATAAATGAAGCATACAGTTTCTAATGAATCATTATAACTTTTTCCCCTTTGGAAACTTTACAAGATGTTTGTCACAGTTTACTCATTTCAAGTATCTTACTCTATTTTATGTGAATCTGAATTATAACATTTGTTAATGAATTTTTACTTTCATATAAGCAGTATTTTCAAGAAGACTAAGTATTATGAAAATGTGATCATTGTTTGTCATTGTGTAGTACTCAGAAATAGTTTGAATAGTCTCTACCTCTTTTGTTTTTTAATGTTAAGCAGCTGGTAGCATTCACCCCATATGGAAACATAGTAGCAATTGTTGATGGAATGTTTTAATGATGAACAATTCTCAAATTACAAAAGCTTATCTCAGAAACCTCATACTGCCAAAGACCTTCACATCACAGAGGCAGTGAATATGTGTGTGTGTGTGTGTGTGTGTGTGTGTGTGTATGTATGTGTATGTGTGTATATTTGTAAGTTAAATTGAGTGAATGACATTCAGTCATTTGGTTGTCTTGATGTATGGCCCCTTTAAAAAAGTTTTTTAAAAAGTTATTTGTACAAAAATTTGCTATCTTTGCTACAGTGTGTATTGCAATAGATTTTTTTTTCTTCTCTTTAAAGGTGGTTTAGGTTAGAATCCAAACAAGGAAAAAGAATCAAAAACAGGGGTGAGATAAAGGTCAATATTCAATTTATGAGGAACAATATGACAGCAAGTATGTTTGACTTATCAATGAAGGACAAAACAAGATCTCCCTTTGCAAAATTAAAAGACAAAATGAAAGGTAGAAAAAATGATGGGACATTTTCTGATACATCTTCTGCAATCATTCCAAGTACTCACATGCCTGATTCTAATACCGAATTTTCCAGTGGTGAAATACAGATGAAATCCAAGCCAAAAAAGCCTTTTCTTTTGGGTCCTCAGAGACTCTCTTCTGCACACTCGATGTCTGATTTAACTGCATCCCACACATCTGAGAAACTGAAGCCTGGTGCCATAGGTCAAACACATCTTCTTGGTCGCCAGATAGATTCCTTTGGAGTAGTGCCAGAAAGTGGTAAGTGTTGCCTCCTTTCCACTTGTCCCCTCAACAGCTCGCTCAATGTTTATAGTTTAAAATTTTAAGTTAGACAATAAAAACCTCGGTTTCTTGGTAATATTCGCTACATTTAGTCATCTATCCAGTTTGAGTGCTTACAAAACCTCAAATTGCTAAAGTCATTGAGGGCAAAGTTTGTCTGTTTTGTATTTATGTTATTAGATGATAATAAAATGAGTCCCAGTCTCCTCTCAAGGTCTGGCTTTTTTACTGCTGCTTCTCCTGTCTCAAAAGGCTACAGCATAAATGAACATTCCATTACATCATAAAGACTTCAGGAGAAAAAAAACTTTTATATTCAGAATTAAGAAAGGAAATTTAATACTAATGATGAAACAAGTCTGAGGACTTGCACCATTTTCATGCCAATAGCTTGGTTGATTTTGACATTATAGTTTGTTTATGTAATGGTTTCTGAGCTCAGTAAATTACTAATTATTTCAACAATACACTGATTGTTCTTAGCCTAGATAGTTCTGACTGCTATACCTTACCATCAAGGTTGTTTTCCATGATTACTTTAAAGGTTAATACCTTTAAATAGCTAATTGCTATGAGTCTAAAAGCAGTAGGATACACACAGAGTGTGTTAAATATTGATGTAATGTGTCACCGATTATGTACTAACTATAGAATTGTTTGTAGGAAGTCTCAAGTCACCACACCGAAGAACATTAAGCTTTGATACTTCTAAAATGAACCAGCCTGACAGCATTGTGGATGGAGGTGAATCCTCCTTTGGAAGACAGAATGACCCATTTACAAACGTGACTGCTTCATTACCCCAAAAATTTGCAACACTGCCAAGGAAGAAAAATCCATTTGAAGAAAGCAGTGAATCATGGGACAGCAGCTTGAGTTTATTTTCAAAATCAGTTGAAGTAAGAAAAGAAAATAAAAGAGAAAAAAGGGAGAAAGTGAGCTTATTTGAAAGAGTGACGGGGAAAAAAGATAGCAGAAGAGCTGACAGACTTAACAATGGGGGATCTGATAGTCCTTGTGACTTAAAATCGCCCAGTGCATTTACTGAAAACCGGCAGGACTATTTTGATTATGAGTCAACTAATCCGTTTACAACAAAATTCAGGGCTTCAAATATAATGCCATCTTCAAGGTAAGATTCATAACAGGGAAGTTGTGCTGTTTGGGAAAACCTTGTGCTTGACAGTATTAACTATGCAGTTTAAATACATGAATATTTTAAATTCCTTTTATTTTTCTTGAAAAATATGTTTTTAATAAGGAATTACAGAACCAAGCAGTGTTACACACATCCTTGGAATTAAATTTTTTAATCTTGGAAGGATAGAAGATTCTTCCTCTGTCCTAGTCTACTCCCATTTATGCTAGCCAGAGACTCCCTACAACTTTGGGCGGACACAGCATGGCTTTTGCTGGCAATGGGTGAGAGTAAGTCATGGGTGTTAATTGAAACCAGAAATGTGTTTCTAGATATTTTCTAGGGATTAATTCCTGGGCTGTTTAGAGATTTAGTAGACCAATAGGAGCCCATGGGCTGGCTATTCTTTAACAAACACTAACTTCTTAAGTACTAATGGTTTCATAATAGATGTTAATTGTCCTTTTTAAATGACTGATTAGAAACAGTTTTAACTTGAGTATGCTTATTGGAATTCACTAACGATTTTGGGTACAATAAATACACTGATCTACAGGATAACATAGTCATAGAAACATGATAAAGGTTACGTTCTTAAGTTAGGTATATACGGTACTTAATTCTAAGTAAAAGTTGAAACTATACACATTTAAGTGCAATGACAGATTTTATAGAAGTGAATGGTGGAAAAGAGCTGATTTAAGAAAGTCTTAAGCAAGGTGCTGGTGGCTTACGTCTATCATCCTAGCTACTCAGGAGGTTGAGAACTGAGGATTGTAGTTCTAAGCCAGCCTGGGCAGAAAAATTTGTGAGACTCCCATCTCCAGAATAACAAGCAGTTAGAGGTGTGGTTGAGGTGGTAGAGCCTACTGTATAAGAAAGTCGAGCTAGTGTGAGACCCTGCGTTAAAACCTGGGTACAAACCAAGTAAAAAGGAATTCTTAAGCAAAAATTAAGATGAATTTAATGAAGTCTTAAGTAATTATAGTAGAAGAGAATGGTTGAATGTTTGCCATATAATGGACAGCTTTCTTCCAGTCAGTAAAGTATAGATACAGACTCTAGACTTGACAGTGCTTTGACCTCTGTAAAGGTCAGAATCTTTATCTTTGTAACAAACAAAATAGTATTTAGTCTATAGGATTCAGTGAGGATAAATAGTACGTGAAGTACATATTACAAAACCCATCCCCAGATAGAGAATCTGTAAAAGCTAACTGTTGTAAGTTGAACATCTTTCACCCAAAAATCTGGAATCTGAAATGTTTTCCTATAAGAAGTACTAAAGTATTAGTATTTTAGCCACGTGCCAGTGGCTTATGTCTGTAATCCTAGCTACTTGGGTAGCTGAGATCTGAGGATTGCGGTTCAGAGCTCACCCTGGCAGAAAAGTCTATGCAATTCTTATCTCCAGTAAGTTTCCAAAACCAGAATTGGAGCTGTGGTTGAAGTGGTAGAGCATCAGCGTGAGTAAAGAAGCTAAGGGACAGGCCCTGAGTTCAAGCCCTATCACTGGCACTCAGCGTAAAAAGGTTATGCAACTATTCCAAAATCTAGAAAACCCATATATGAGGCCTTTGCATTGCAAGCATTTTGAGTATGGGATACTTGACCTGGGTTATGTTTTATGTGTTGTCATATCATTTTATGAGCAGAAAATGTAGTGTTAGCAGCCAGTCTTTTAGGATTTGTTCATCCATCTCTTATATATCTTCTATGATGTGTTCAAAAGAATTCATTTAAAATTTTTGAAAGGAAGTGTACAATTCTTTAATCAATAAATGTGTATTTGCCACTACTTTAGAAAGAAGCATTCAGAACTATACAGAAAAGAAATAAGTTGTATCATATGGTATCTATTTTATAGAAGAGCTCATAAGTTTTGATATTCTGTTCTAAAATATATTGGTATTTCACAGAGTGTACTTCACATATTTTGTTAAATCCTAAATTATGGGAATAAATAGAAACACATTGCCTACTTTTGTCCTTTACTAAACTTCTTTTGCAGATCGTTGAAAACAAATATCTAAGGTAACTCAGAGATTATATAATTTAGGTAATTTCAAAGTCAACAAAAAAGCAAGAAAAGGAGAAATAGGAAAAAAGTTTTAAAACTGTATCAGTGTATATATAAAAAAATAACTGCCCTCAAATCTTTAAATGCCCTCTACTTGAGCTGCATATGTGGCCTGCCCTGGGTTTAAAAGTACATATGGCCATTGGTAGATTCAGTCTTTGTCTAGCGTTACTTCAGTACTAATGCCATTTCTATCAAAATTAGAGTGGTTTCTTGATAGATGCACAACGTGATTGCAAATGTGTAAAAATAATTTTGTTTTTAATGTTAAGACTTTCTTTTATTCATATTTATGAGGTGCCAGATATGAGGACAAAACTTGTAAATTCCTGGGAAGTTACTCTTTTTATGTCATAAGCCATTTTTGTTGCAAATATAAAACATCTGCAGTGAAGTTATTCTAATTAATAGTGTAAAAAGACAGAATTGAGTACAACTAGGCACATAAAAAGAGTACTGCCCAGTTTCAGCAAGCAGATTTGTCTGGGTGGGATTTGGGAGGATATTGTCAAGATAAGTGTTGTCTTTATGTACAGGGTCTCCTCTATCTTGTTTATCCTCCCTGTATCTTTGCCAGTTATGTGGGGCATTTTGTATTTTCTCACATTAGCCTCCAAACCAAATACACTTTTGAAGCTATGAACTCAACATTACTCAGACATATGTTGTAAATTATTTTTCCATTAGTGCTAAATAGATGTGCTTACTGAGTCTCCTGGACTCTTGGTGACCAGTGTTTGTGAAAATACTGAGCGAGATGTTGAGAGTAAAATAAGTCACTATGGAACTGAAATTTGTTTTGGTGAATGAACTGGCTCACCTTGATTGCAGGGACACAGCAGCTCTGTTAACTCTTAAGCGTGTGATCTGTGATGAAAACTAGAACTTTCTCTTTATGTTCCGAACTTTACGCATTTTAAATGTTCTAAAGCTCTTTTTCCCCCTCTTAGAAGTTGGGTTTTTATTTTTCATGTGTGTAAAATTAATCTAAAGAAATCATGTTGGAAATCAGAAAATCTACTTTATGTCGCTTCTGTTTTTGGAATAGTTCCGAGAATGTTGTGCAAAACTGATAGAGGAAATTAGGCTTTACGTTGGGTTCCTTCTACAAAGTGTGCTGCTCTTTGAAACACTTCCCAGAACTAATAATTCACAGTGTCCTTTCTCTTAACTTACTCCTGCTTCTTGGAAGCCTTTCCTACTCTAAGGATGAGGAAGTAGTTTGCTGAGCTGTGGCGTTTTCTTCTGAGCATCCCGTTGAAAACTATTAGGTTAAGTCACTGAACATTTAAAAGCTGGGATTTAATTCAGCAGTAGAGTGTTTGTTCCTCATATACAAGGTCCTGGATTTCTGAGAAAAATGGAAGAATTAAAAATTTAAATTTAATAATGTAAGTAGCACATAACTAAAGTCTGTAAAAGCAAGATATTTAGAGTTGGTTATCCACTGTAGTTAACCCCAGATATCAGTGATGTATTACAGTCAAAGTCTTATCATTTCACATAGTGTTTCACAAAGCAGTCCATGGAAATGGGAATGGAAAGAGTGGCTGCTATGCTCCGTGGGGGGGGGGGGGGGGGGGGTCTCTTAGGAACCAGGATTCCTTCTTGTGATAAAGGCCCCTGCTTATGCACTGAAGCCCTGGAGATGGTGAAGACTGCAGGTGGGACTTTGTATAGGCTTGGCAGTGGTGTGCAATACTTCTTTACATGTCCTAATGTCCATAGCTCAGTTAAGTGCCAACCACACCAGCAACCAGTTCAGAAGTAAGGTTTAGTAGCATGCCAGAGGAAGCAGAATTGGGTTTAGAGCACAGCGTGTGTGTGCTGTAGACACCAGCTCAGCTGTCTGCTAAGTCAGTGGTTTGGCATCTGCAGATCCCCTCTGTACAAGCACATGAAGTATAGGTGGAATTCTTGTAATTTTGAGGAAAATGACAGTTTATTACTAGAATTGAGTTTGTATTTAAAAATTGCTACTATTGCTTTTTTTTGGGGGGGGGGGTCGGTGGTGGGGCTTGAACTCTGGGCTTGGGTGCTGTCCCGGCACTCTTCAGCTCAAGGCGAACGCTCTACTGGTTTTCTATTGGTTTATTGAAGATAAGAGTCTCTCAGATTTTCCTGCCCGGGCTGGCTTTGAACCACAATCCTCAGATCTCAGCCTCCTGAGTAGCTAGGATGACAGGTGTGAGCCACCTATGCCAGGCTTCTATTCTTGCTTTTGATTGAGAAAGATCACAGACTTAGCATCACCAGCCTCAATTTTTATCTTCATCATTTGTTAACCTATGTAGGGCCTTGGTTATTATATTTTTCCCTCAACTTGGAAAGCATAGCTTTTTTTTTTAATTAACAAAATATTTTTCTCTAGAAAAAGTTTTTTAAAGAATCTTTTAACTCCCATTTCCTATGTGAGGAGCATAAAATGTTCCTCTTTTACATTTCTCCTTACTTTATCTTGTTATGATAAAATAAATCTTAACTAAAAGTTAAAAAAGAATTCTTTTGTAAGTTTAGAAAACATTGGTTTTAACAAACTCGGCCTGCGTTCTCTAGCAGGAGTTCTACTGCTGAACCACATCTCTAGCCAGTTTTTGCACTTGTTATTTTTGAGATAGGGTCTCTTTTCCTGTCCAGGAATGCTCTTGGACCATAATCTTCCTTTTTTTTTTTTTTTTTACTTTCCACCATCTCTGGGATGACAGGTATGCAACCACCATGCCCAGCAGATGATTATTTTCTAAAAACAAGTATACGAGGTGTTTGTTATACCACTTTAAGTGCTTAACAAGTTCTAAATAAGTTGAAAATTGGAAATGGGAATGTTAGGTGTGTTCACCAAGTCAATTTTGTTATTTTTGCTTTCAAGATAAGGTCTTAACTACATCCTTGTAGCTCAGGATGACATAGAACT